CTCTCCCAGTCCTACCATCTAGGGTTCTCTGGCCTAAGCCTTCCTGGCCTGCTTCCCTACCTCTTCCAGGAAGCCTTCTGGGCCTTCCAGGCCATGCCCAGGTGGCCTTCACTTGGCCCTGGCTGCTACACACAATCATAAGATGGAGACCTCCTAGTCTCAGGCTGGATGCCCTGAGGGCCTGAGCCCAGGAAACCCACCCCTGCCCCCCACGCTGAGGCCCCCCGTCAGTCATCCAGCTGCTTCTAGACCCAGAGGGCAGCAGATCAGGCTCTGGCGAGTGTGCCCTGAGCCGCCTCCGTCGGAGGGTGAAGAGGCCTCTCAGATCATAGCCCACGTGGCTCAACAGGGTCCTGTGGGGGCGGGGGACATGGCAAGGTCAGAGCAGTGACCCTGGCTGAGCCGTGTTACTGCCTCTGATGGAGCAGTGGGGTCCTGGCTTCGGCCCCACCAACTCATCCTCCTTCCGAGGGGCCCAAACCACAAATCTAACCATGTCCTCCCCTGCTCAGCAAAAGCCCAGCATATGGTACCTGAGGGGACCCAGTCCTGTTCCCCATCTGCGCTCCACCCTCACCTCCCCAATGGGATCATCACCATTTCTAAGTAGGCTGTGTCTTTGTAGCTCTGGTACCCCATTTTCCACTGACATCCTGCCCGCCCGCCAATGCCCAGTCAGCTCAGCCAGCTTGCATGGCTCCCAGACCTGCAGCCCCCCAGGGTTAGGGTTAGGGCAGGTCTAAAGGGTCTGGGTGCTCATCTTTGCCCAGTTCAGGTTTAGGATCCAGCCCTGAGCTGTCCTGAACTCCTGGAAGCAAATGAGTACACCAGCAGAACCCAAGCCATATGTTAAGTCTCTGGGGTGAGGTTAAGTTTGAGCTTGTGCTGGCCTGGAATCCGCCCCTCCCCAGTCTCAGAGGCAGGAGAGGCTCTGAGAGGTTCGCTGACTCCTGCAAAGGGTCCCAGACTCTGCTCTGAAAATGTGTGTGAGTGTGGGCGCTGGGGGGGTGCCCCTGTCTGGGAAGGCTGCCTGGAGGAGGTGGCTCTGGGTGCACCTAAGAGGAGACAAGAGCCGCCAGGGCTCTGGGTCAGGTCATAGCGGTGGCCTAGGGTGGGCGCTTTGGGTCCTGCTCACCTTCCCCCAGCTTCCACTGCAGACTCCAGAGAACAGGAAGAGCTGGGAATGGCCGGGAAGCCAACCCCCTCCCCCCATGGGGTGTCAGCCCCCACCCCCAGCCCTGGTGGTCTGAAATGCCCAGCTCAGACCAGGACCCGTCCTCCCCACTCCCCCAGCCGTTTGGGGCGAGGTCTGCCCTGCCTGTGGTCCTTTCTGGGCCAGGACGCTCTCTGGAGGACTAGGGCCTGGCCGCCGGGTGCGTCTGTGCGGGGGGCCCTGCTTGGACCTGGAGTGCCCACCCACAGAGGGGCAGCTCCTGCAGGCGGCGCTCCAGCTGCCCCAACGCCCTGGCCGCCGGGCCACAGTGGGAGAGGAGGCGTTGGGCGGGGCGCCCCCTGGTGGCCATTAGTGGCTGCAGCAGGGACCTCGGAGGAGCCCCCCCACCCCCACCCCGCGCAGGTGCCCTAGTGGGGAAAGGGTAGTGTCCCCAGCCCTGCCCCACCCACCCGCCTCCGGGGTGATAGTGCACCACCAGCATCATCAGCCTCCAGGGCACTGGCAGTCTTTCTCGTCTCCTTCCCGCGCCCCCGCCCCGTGTGGGTGTCCACCTGCCTGCCTGCCTGGGCGGGTGGGCCGGGCCTGGGGGCAGGCGGCTGTATGCGGGCATATTTGTGGGGCAGATGAGCCACGGGTGGGTGCCGGCAGCAGGGGCACCTCCAGAGGCCAGGGTGTGTGGGAGTGGCCTGAGCCGAGCCTGCGGTGGAAGGGGCAGGACGGGGCCGGGAGCGGAGGCGGCCTTCCCCCCACCTCCCCGGGGGCCAGGCTCAGGGGCTCTTCCTCTCCCAGGGCCTCCCCGACCGCTGGGACACAGAGAGCCCTGGGTGCTCCCACCCTACACCCTCCCTCCTTGGACTTGGTGGCCTGCCCTGCGGGGATGCTGCAGCCTGCGTCTGGGTCCTGAGAGCCTGTGGGGGACCCCCCGCCTGTCGCCGGAAGCTCGTGGGAGGAGGTGCTGGAGCCCTCCCGTGGCTTTCTCCCCAGGCCTGTGCGTTGCCCCGAAAGGGGGTGGGGCGGGGTCCTGGCAGCTCCACAGCCTCCCTCCAGCCACCAAACCACGGCGTGCCACGGGCGCTGTGTGTCCAAGCTGCCCTCCCTGGAGGTGGCCCTCCAGGCACAGCCAGCTGGGCCGGTCCCTCCCAGCACCCCCAGGTCACAGGGCTCCCTTCTGCCTCTCGCGTGACCCTCCTAAAGGCCAGTGGCCCGGATGGGCCGCCTGCTAACTTCTGTGAGCCTCGGTTCCCCATCTATGACATGGGATCCTGCCCCCTCAAGGGAGTGTCACTCGAAGGATTGTCATGGGGAGTGGAGGGGACGGCCCTCAGGAAACAGAAGCAGGAACGAGGACAACGATGGTGACGACGGGGAAGCTGAGGCTCCGGAAGGGCACCTGCTTGAGGTCCAAGGCTCCCAAGGGCTGATTTCAAACCCCTGCCCCCACCAGTCCCGAGCCCCTGCTGTAGGTGGGCAGCAGGTCATTCCTTCTAGACCCTTCCTGAGCGGGAAACTCTGCCTTGGACCAACCCCTCCCCACCCCCAGGTCCTGGCTCTACCCTTGGGGTTGGGACAGCCCTGTAGAAGGGTAGAGTGACCACACGTCCCCCACTTAGCGTGGAAAATCCCAATTTCTGGGCAGATGGGACGGCTACTGACCCTTGTTGGGCGCTCCCGTGGCCACAGGCCTTCCTGCAGGACAGCTGGGGTGTGGGCTGCCATCCCCTCCCACTGCACAAAAGCCATCCAAGGCTGGCTTGGAGACCACCCCTCTGTCCGCTGGGGTCTAGGCCATCCCTCTGGAGGGCAGCTGTGTCTGGGCCGCGGGTGAGCATCGGGGCAGACCCTCCTTCCTGGGTCTCCACTCTCTCTCCCACCCCGACCTGGTGAGTGAGGACCACCACGTCCCAGGTCTGGAAGGTTACAACTGCGGGTACCTAGAGTAGAGGGAAGGGGACCCCCAGAGTGTAGCTTCATGGGGGCTTCCTGCAGGGGGCTGACTTCCTGAAGGCACTGCTGTCCAGCCAGTGACACAGGCACCGCCATCCACAGGAGTAGGAGGGACTCTGTCCAGGTGGGCAGGCCTGGTCTTGGGCAGCTAAGGACGCAGGTCTCCCTGGATGCCACTTCTCTTCTGCTCCCAAAGGACTCAGCGCTGCTCAGAGGAGCCCCTGTGTTCTGAAACACTTTCTCACATACCAGAATAAAAATGGGTGTGGTGGCCACTGGGGCCTCTTGCAGCCATGCCCCCATTCTCTGGCCTCCCAATGCCCACCTCAGAGGGACTGGGCACCCAAGTCCCAAGGGAAGGCCCCATCGCCTTGGCAACACCAGAGTTTGGTCTGCCCCCCTGCATTCTCTCCAGGGCCCCAGGTGGGGTGTCCAAGAGCAATGCCCACCCCAAAGCACACAGAGGCCAGGGGTCTGAGCTGAAGACACAAGAGCAGAGGAGCTAGGCAGGGTGGGTGGGCAGTGGGGAGGCTGGAGCCATCGCAGGCAGTGGGAGCTGGGGGGGCGGGGCGGCCACCCCTCTCCTGGGGGCTGGTGGGAAGTCAAGTCCTGCCCTTTGACTGTCCCAGGAGTCCAGAAGCCCCCAGCTTCCTAGAGGACAATGAACTTTAGCAAGAACCCCGTCACCTGCCAGATGGAGAAAAAGGAGTCCATCCATGTTCACATGAGGAATAAGAGTGTCTGCAATCCTTAAATAGATTTATGGAAATGGTTTTGAATTACAGCATTTAGAAAATAAAAATAATCTCCATACATAATATACCCTCCATTATATGCTTTTCTTCTCCCACAGAAGCTGTTTTTGTGCGTGTGTATTCCAGTGTCAAATAGTAATTGGATTTTATCCTATAAAAGAAGCAGTAGGTGTGTCATCTCTCTAAAAATAAAACTGCAATCATCATTGCAATGTGAAGCCTGAGATTTAAGCCTGAGGAGGTGTCCGTGCTGGGGCCCGGGGCCACTCTGGGGTCTGAGGAGGTGGGCCAGGGTCCCAGGGGTGCAGAGGGAAGGGGGAAGTGGCAGCCAAGCGGGCAACATCCGGGGGTCCTCAGCCCCCTGGAGAGCCCTGGCCTCGGAAGCTGGGAAACCTCTGCCCGCCGCCTGACCCCGCCATCGGCTGGTGGACCAGGGTGGGCAGACCGCAGCAGGGGCGCACCTGCTTGCCCAGAGGACCCCCAGGCCTGCTTCTGCATGTCCCCTCTCCGACAAGAAATGAGACTCATGCTGTTGAGACAAGGTCCTGAGGGGAGCAGAGGGTGGGCAGCTGTGGGCTCAGGGCCCTGGAGAGAGAAAGGAAAGCCTAGTTTTTCTGGTTTGGCCAGCATGTGGGGAAGCCCTGCGGTGCCCCAGGCCCGCCCCCCGCCGCCCCCCAGAGGTGTCCACCATCTCCCCAGACTCAGCCCCAGGGGCCGAGGCTGCCCTGAGCTCAGACACCACCCCCACTTTCCCCTTCCAGTGCGGACCTTCTGCTACGGTTCAGCCTCAAGGCCGCATCTCAGCAGGGCAGGGGGGCAGGTGGACGGGCGGGAGGAAAGCCCACCCTGCCCAGGCAGCCGCCTGGCACCCCCAGGTCCCCCCACTGGCTGAAGCTGACCTCCTGTCGGCCCCTGCGGCTGGCCTGAGGTCCCCACGGGTGCGGAGGCCTGGGCGGGAGGGGCGGAGGCCCTGGACGTTCTGGAAGTCAGGGCGGCCCGCAGCCCTGGCAGCGGTGATGGCGGCAGCTGGATGAAACGCGGTGAAGACCCTCCCGTGGCCGGAGGCCTCCTCCTCGGAACCTCCTCCCCGGCGTCCTCTGGGGCCCTCGCGGGCTCGGGGCACCGTGTCAGACGCCCGCCTTGTCGCTGTAGAAGGGCGTGACGTGGAACACGTAGCAGTGCGTGCACACGCGGACGGGCTTCACCTGCCCGTAGCGGGGCAGCGGCGCCGAGTGCGAAGAGCAGCGGGAGCAGAAGATCTGGAAGGCGAGGGGCGGGGGGCGGGGCCAGTGGGCTGGGCAGGGCTCCCAGCAGCCCCTGCGCCTCACCCCTTCCTGACCTTGGCCTCTGAGGGGCGCGCAGCAAGGACAGGGTCGGAGCCCCAGGCGCCGCCGGCCTTCCTGCCCTTCCTCCCACCCAGAGCAGCCCGGGCGCGCGCGGGTGGGTGTCTCCCGGCCCCCCCGCCCCCCGTGGGGCTGGAACCTTCAGGAAAACCTGGCGCAGGTCTTGGCCGGGAGGCCGCGCCGACGGAGAGGGTCCTGGCCCCATAGCCAGGCTGCCGCAGGCTCCTACTCAGACCCTCCATCCCCTCCCCGTCCCCAGGTCTGAAGTGGCCGGGACTGGGCACTGCACCATCGCACCCAGTGGGCGGAGTGCCTGGAGTCCACACCCTGTGCCAAGGCAGAGCAGGGCCCAGGGCTCAGGGGTGTCTGCACAAGGACCCCGGGGCATCGGTCCAGACTTCCGGACCTAGGCGCCACGTCTGTGACGGCCCCTCGGATGCCCGCAGCGACAGCCCGAGGGGCCGCGGGACGACCTCGGCCGCCCCACCCACCTTCCCGCAGCTCCGGCAGTGGTGCTTCCTGCGAATGACGGTGAAGGGGGCTTTGCACGCGGTGCAGAAGCCGCAGGCCTCGTCCGGAACCCCCTCGGGCGGGTCTATGACAACGACAGGGGGGGGGACACGTCAGCCAGAGGGACCCATGCGGTGGCGGCAGTGGGGACCGGTGACTGGGGTGGGGGTCAGAGGCTGGTGGCTGTGTAGGAGCCTCCGGTGGGGCAGCCTGCCCCCCACTCCCCCCTTCCGGTCCTCCCTGAGGCTGGGTACCGGCTGCGGTCTCAGGAAACTGACAGTGTCCCATGGACGGGTCAGTCTTTGCCTCTGTCGGCCGTGCTCATCGATCGGACCCCAGCTGCGGCCTGTACCTCGCCCCAGGACTCGGGGCACGGGCAGGGAGCGTCCACCCGGACAACCCTCTCCCGGCCGGCACCCAGCCTGGCAGGGCCCTTGGGCAAAAATGGGGGCTGGGAAATGAAGAAATCAGCCCCCTCTGTGGACCCCTCCGCCAATCAGCCCCGCCCACCCCAGCTCCAGGGCTGTTCTAAAGTTCTTGAGGAGAGGCGCCGAGGCTGGCCCTGGCCTCTTCCAACACCTGTGCAGCCTGGCAGCTGCCTTTGGGCCTGTCGCATGTCACTGCTCCAGGCGATCACTGGGGGAAGCCTCTGGGCATCTGCTCTGGAATTTGGGTGGGAGGGTGTGTGTCGGCGCTGGGAGAAGCCATCTTGCATGGGGGGACATGCCTTTCCTCCCACCCCAGACATAAGATGCCCACTGCGTACCAACCCCAAGCCCAGTACTGCCGCCCAGAGGGAGAGTGAACACCTGGACGGCTCCCTGGGGCCACAGCGTGGGCTCAGGGGTCTCCCGTCCACTCTCACACTACCCCCAAGGGAACTCAGCAAGGCCGCCTGCCCCCCAGAGACTGGGGTCTCCTTGCCTCCCTCTCGCCCCCTCTCCTCACCAACCTGCACCTGAGGACCTGCCCCTCCCCCCAACCCCTCCCACCCAGCTCTCCCGCTCCTGCTCTGGACCCCATCAGCTCACCCCCAACTGCAGGGAGGTGGCTTCTCACGCTTGCCACCTCCCCCGCCCCCGTGTGAAATCCTTGGCCGGCCCCAGTGACGCCCCGGACGGCGCCCGGCAGCTCCGGGGCCTCGCCGGGCCACGAGGCCAGCTCCAACACACAAGTCGAGACCCCCGCCCGAGGAGGATGGTGAGGCTCCTGAGGACTTGCTGGGTCCAGGCCCTGCCCTGCGAGCCACTCCCAGGAGGGGGCTGGACTGGCGGCCCACGGGGGGACATGGCCCTGGCTGTGGGCTGGGCCCCTCCAGACCTCGCAGTTCACCACCTGCACGCTCCTCGAGCAGGGGGTTCCGAGTTTCTGGCGGGCGTTCTAGTTATGGCACCGTGTGCGATTTTCACAGGAGGGTAGAGAATACCAGGGCTCAGGACGTTTAGGAAGCAGGGAAGCTTGTGCGGCCGCCCCCACGGGATCCCGGCCAAGGCAGCCCCACTGCACACCTGGGTCACCAGGCAGTGCGAGGGAGGCCCTGAGCCGGGACCAGCGGGGGACCAGCGCCGCCGGCCAGGCACACCGGGGCCAGCCGCCTCCTTCTCAGCTCCAGTTGCATTCGACACTCGCTCAGGCCCGTCTGCCGCTGCCCGTCTGAGCACCTCTGCAGGCCTCCGGCCCCTTCCAAAGGCCTTGGGCAGCCCCCTCCCCCAGATGTGTTGCCAGTGCCCCCAGCCCACCCTGGATGCTCCTTCCCTGACTGCCAAGCCACCGGGCCTGCAGCCGGCCGACCTCCAGGCTAATGGGGGAGCAGGCCGCTATGGGAGGCCTTTCCTGCGGGGCAGGTGAACGCTGGGGGGTCGGCAGTGTGCCTGTGGCCTGGAACCAGCCACTTCCAGCTGCGGCCAACGGCCTGGACCCTGGCATCTCCTTGCTCCTCACGCCCTCCCCCTACCCCCCAGGCTGAGATGTTCAGTTACGGGCCTGAGGTTAGGTGGCGGCAGCTCAGAGGACCTGTGCCCACCCTGGGAGCCCAGGAGAGAAGCTGGAGTAAGAGGCTGCACCCCCTGGGAAGCGGCACTTCTAGGCCTCTGGGGAGGGGCCCCCGCTGGAGGAGCACTGCCCGCCCCAAGCCTGCAGTCCAGGGCAGAGCGGTGGAAACATCCAGACAGGGGTCCTGCTCTCCGCTCGGCACGCAGTGCATTGGCCCCCGGCTCCCGGGCCCTCACGCACCTTCCAAGTCTCCATCTCGGTTCTTGGCTGCGAGTTCGGAGGATGACAGGGTCTCCTGGCACAGAGCGCAGTCCTCCAAGGCCGCGCTCCGCAGGGTCTGGGTGACTAGAAGAGAGAGGGTGGCCGCTGGGGTCAATGGGCCACCGCCTGTCCCTGGGAGGTGCCGCCAGCAGGGAGTAGCCCCCGAACAACCCACAGTCCCACACGCAGAGTGGATCACCGCAGCCCTCACCCACCGTCCCTGCAGGCTGGTTGCTGACCCCGCAGGGGGCCTTTCCGTCCGAGTGCCCTCAGGTGTGCAGCTGGTTCTGCCTGTGGGCCCCTGGCCCCAGGGCCCACCGTCCTTGCTTGCAGAGCAAGAAGGCAGCCCCGCCCAGAATTCCCTGGCAGATGGGGGCAGTGTGGTCCAGTGGGCGAGGACGTGCCCTCCAGGGCTGGGCCGGGTGCCCCGTGTGTCCAGACATTCTTGAGCAGAAGCCCCTATGATGAGAGGCCGCTTGCCCAGAATGGGAGCCTCAGCCCAGCAGAGGGTGGGCGAGCAGGGCTCGGCCCCTTCCCTACGCTCGGACCCTGCCACCTCCTTCCAGGGAGCGAGGGGCCAAGCTCCCTGTGCCTTAGCATTCCCTGCGTGACACCTGCTCCCTCACCAAGTAACTCTGTTTTGCGTGCGCCTGTGTGTGCACGCGTGTGTGAGTATGTGAGGCAGCTCACAGATGGCCACTCCCCCGAGCAGGGGACCCACGTCCCCTCCTTGGCTCTGGGCTGGCCTCTGGCTGCTCTGACAGACGGACTTTGGTACAAGTGACAGTGTACCGCTTCTGGGTCCTGTCTCCAGGCCCGTCAGCCGTCGGAAGTGGGGTGGCCTGGCTGGGGCGTGGGCACGTGGGGCTGTGACCCCCATGCGTCCCCAAGCCCACCTCTCGGGGTACCCGGGGCCTGTGCCCCTCTGCCCACAAAAGCCGGGTGGCGGTGCCGGGCCAGGTCTGGGGGTGCAGATTTCCGCAGGCCTCCCACATCCAGGGGGCGGTGGGCACGACGGTCAGCCTAGGCCTCAGAGCCTGTCCCGAGCTGGCACTCACCCTTCTTTAGCTTTTCCTTGTCGTCCGTTTCCGGCTTGGTGGCCATGACCTGGAAGAGGGTCTTGAGAATGCTTCTGAGGTCGCTGGCGTAGTTGGTCTGCAGCTGGTCGGCTACGCCTGGGGGAGGACGCCCGAGGAGGGGGGGTAAGGTGCTGGCAGCTGGTGAACCCAGCCAGGGCTCATGGTCAGAGACCAGGATGTCCTCGGATGAGTGGGTGCGAGAAGAGGCTGCCCCGCCCCCGTGACAGCTCCTTTGGCAGAAGCAAAAGCTCAGGAGTCAAGGGAAGGTGGCGGAGGGGGGCAAAGTACCCAGCAGCCCTCCCCCGGGGGTCAGTTATTCGCCTTCGTGCTTTTATCCTGGCCCCTCACTGAGGGACAACCCCAGAGCCCCCAACCGTGCCCACCCGCATGGCAGCACCTTCCCCTCACGGCCACCTCGGCTGTGGGGATGCAGCGAGGTTCCACGTGGCTGGGGGGCCGAGGGCGAACCCTGCCCAGACATGGGGCCCAGCGCCGGCTCCTCGGCGCCCCCGCCTCCCAACCCCGCTCCCTGGCAGGACAAGCCTTCCCCCACCCCCACCCTCACCTGCAGAGGTTTCCTCTGTCCCTCAACTAGGTGGACTCGGCCCTTCTCAGTGAAGAGCGCTGCTAGCTCTTCAGGGGCACGAGGGGCTGCCGTTAACAGCAAAGCCAGGGAGTGACCGTGCACATCCCAGCAGCACGTGGGCGCCCCGGGACCCATCACTGCGCTGATACCGCGGCTGGAGCTTCCGGGGGCTTCCTTGCGTGCCAGCGGCCGCGTTGAGTACCAGCTGGCATGATGTTCCCCAGACCTCTAAACAAACCCGTGTAGTGGATTCTGGCAGATGTCTGAACCGAAGCTCTGAGTCACCTCGAGGTCCTCGTGCCCCCACCTGGCCTGGCTGGGGGCTGTGCCTGAGGGGCCCTCGGCAGTGCGGAGTGACCCCGGGGGATCATGACCCTGACTCTGCAGCGTCCGCCAGTCCACAGGCTGCCCCGCGGCTGCCCCTCCACCCGGGGGCCCGGGAGCGCCTCGGAAACTCCAGGCCAGGGGAGCTGGGCTGCAGGACGGGCACTGTCTGAACCCGGCTGCCCCGGGGAGGTGTAGGGGAAGGGCAGGCAGGAGGCCAGGAGGGTGGACTTCACTGCACACTTGTCATACTTTTAAACCATGGGAATGCGGCAGCTATTCAGAACACACAAATCTAGGGAAAGCGCTGCTACGAAGACACCGCTTGTGCTCACTCCCCTCACTGAACTCCCCAGGGAGACAAAACAGTCATCCATCGTCCTGTTGTCTGCCACCCCAAGAGAGGAAACGAAGTAACATCAATCGGGACAGGATGCACAATGAACTCTGACCTACAAATTGAACAGAGTCTCCCTGTGTGGGCGGCGAGGGGCCACTGGGTCCAGAATGGGGTCCTCCACCCGCCACGGGAGGGCCCTGCAAAGCACGATGCCCGCCTCTTTACCGGGCCGGGCTCATGGCGGGGCTCGCGGGCGAAGGATGAAGTGATGCGGTGAGGAAGGCCCCAGGCAGGGCCGACACCAGAGCAGCCCAGCATCAGTGGGGAACCTCCCGCACTTGGGCCAGCCGCTCCCCTAAAGCACGCCCCCCCGCCCCCGTGTGTCCCCAAGCCCACGTCCCGCCCCAGGCCCAGAAGTGGCACCTGAAATGCAGACAAACAGGCGGTGGATCAGGTCGTGGCTGCCGTGGAACCGGGACCGGATCTTCTCTCTGATGGCCACGGGGCCTGTGTCCAGCCCCATCTCGTCTGAGGGGCAGGAGCCGGCTGTGAAGCCGCTGTGCAGAGAAGGAAACACAGGAGCGCAGGTGGAGGGGCGAGGGAAGGCAAAATCTCTGCCCGGAGGCCCCCTCGTTGCGGGAGCACACTGGGGCTGACGCCACGTGCTGAGCTCCTGCCGTGGGAGGGCCACCGCCCCTGCTCACACCCTCTGCAGTGGGCTGATGGGCTCCCAAAAGATGTGTCCACACCCTAACCCTGCCACCTGCCAGCAGGACCTGTTTGGAAGAAAAGTCTTTGCAGCTGCAATCAAGGTAAGGATCTTGAGAGGAGACATCATGGATTATCTGGTGGCTCTAATCTAAGGACAGATGTCTTTGTGGGAGACGGGAGAGGAGACACAGACACACGGGGGCGGGGAGGAGTCGAAGTGGCCACAATACAGAGATGAGGGTGATGTGGCCACAAGCCTGGGGGTGCCCGGAGCCACACCAGAAGCTGGAAGACGCAGGAAGGCCCCTCCCCAAGAGCCTCCGGAACGGGGGCAGCCCTGTCAGATTTCAGATTTCTGGCCTCCCCCCTGTGAGAGAAGAGATTTCTGTTATTTTAAGCCCCCAGGTCATGATGCTGTTTTGCTAAGACCCATCCTTCGTCCCCACCATGCACTTCCCTTCCCACGGCCCAGGGGTCCTGCTGCAGGTGCTGTGAGCTCTGCTGTTCAGGGGTCACCCTGCGGCCCTAAGTAGTGGCCGCAGTTGAGCCTACACTGTTAGGACATCCACTGACCGTCCTGTTCTTAAATCATTTATCTCCCATCTTCTATTTCTGCCATTTTGTCCCACTTTCTGGGAAATTTCCTCTTTCTTTCTCCGACTTTCCCCTTGACGTTTTTGCTACCAGGTTTTTAATTTCCTGCTCTCTCTGTTGTTTCATGGATGTGAAATATTTTATCTATCTAGAAACATTAATTATATTTTTTTCTGATTTTTTTTTTTTTTTTTTTTTTTTGGCTACGCTGCGAGGCATGTGGGATCTTAGTTCCCCGACCAGGGATTGAACCCGTGCCCCCTGCAGTGGAAGCGTGGAGTCTTAACCACTGGACCATCAGGGAAGTCCCTCATTATAATTTTTTAAAAGTTGCCTTTGGTGGCCTGCACTATCTCTGTTTTTGCTTTTCTGTGGGGGAGTTGGGTTTTTTCATGCCTGCCTCAAATGCAGAGACCCCTGTCAGAGAGAGGCCCTGGCATGGCCTTCTGGCATGGATGGAATAGCGGGCACCCTCGCATCACTGGTGGGAGTGTAAATTGGTGGATGACTTTGGGGAGGTGCTCTGGCACCATCTCAGTGAAGCTGGCACACTCCTCAGCCCAGGGGCTGTGGTCGGCACCCTGCCCTGTGCAACTGCAGACGTGGCAGAATCTTCAGGGCAGTTCTGGAAGGTTCCAGTAAAATCCACCAGTGACGGAGGAGGAGAATCCACTGTCATCTTTTTCACGCTGTGGCCCGCCTGATCGCAGCGGGTGAGCAGCCCTGGCCCCTTGTGGACATGGACGACCCTCGCCGACATGGCAGAGAGATGCGCACAGCCACCCGATATCTCACTTAGGGGCACGTCCCTTGGCATCAAACCATCAGAAAGCTCGGAGATGTAACGTGCCTGAGAATTCAGTGCCGGGGGCACTGGGGCTGGAAAGGGCCCCAGACTGGCTTCATGGGCTCCCCCTGCGCAGCCAAGCGGAGATGCACGAGTGCATGTCTGACTGGCACATTCTAGCGACGTTAACATTGGTCTATACGTAATATTTCTTTTAAAAAAATGATTTATTTTATTTATTTATTTTTGGCTGCATTGGGTCTTCGTTGCTGCACGCGGGCCCCTCACCGCGGTGGCCTCTCTTGTTGTGGAGCACAAGCTCCAGGCGCACGGGCCCCAGCAGCTGTGGCATGCGGGCTCAGCAGTTGTGGCTTGCGGGTCCCAGAGTGCAGGCTCAGCAGCCGTGGCGCACGGGCCCAACTGCTCCGCGCCACGTGGGATCCTCCCGGACCAGGGCTCGAACCCGTGTCCCCTGCATTAGCATGCGGATTCCCAACCACTGCGCCACCAGGGAAGTGCCCTTATCAGTGCTATTTCACCAGAACGTGGAGGAGTGGTGGGAGGCTGAGGGCGAGGCTGGGACCCTCGTGATGATCTACAGCTCTGCCCTCCCAGACCACCTGCCAGGTTTCCAGAGACGAAGCCCCTGAGTTTCTTCTGCCTGGGGGGTGTGGACTTGGCGGCCCCTGTCCTGGGAGCTGAGTAAAGAAGGGGGATGCAACGTCACTGTCCGGGGTGTCAGCTTCCATCAACACCCCCAGTCTCAGTTCACAGCCTCACCCAAAAGACTGGAAAGCAGGAGCCCAAGCAAATATTTATACACAATATTCGCAGCAGCATTATTCACAAGAGCCCAAAGGGGAAACAACCCAAGTGCCCATCAACAGATGATGGATAAACAAAATGTGGTCCCTCCATACAATGGAATATTATCCAGCCTTAAAAAGGAAGAAAATTCTGACACCAGCTACCATATGGATGAACGTGTAGGGCATTATGCCCAGTGACAGAAGCCGGTCACAAAAGGACAAACACCGTGTGACTCCACTTACGGGAGGTCCCTGGAGGAGTCACATTCACAGAGACAGAAAGCACATGGTGGGTGCCGGCTGCTGGGGAAGGGGGCTTTAATGGGGACAGAGTTTCAGTTTGGGATGATGAAAAGCTCTGGAAATAAAGAGTGGTGGCAGTTATACCACATTGTGAATGTGTACAATGCCACTGAATTGTACACTTAAATATGGTTAAAATAGTAAAATTTATATGTATTTTACCAAAATTAAAAAGTAGGGAAAAAAAAGATTTAGGACAGGGGAGAGCAGAGGAAAGGGAACTGAAAAGTCTAAGTAGCGAAGACAGCTGATGGATTTGGCATCAATACAACGGGTTAAGAGTGAATACATGCTAAAAACCATTAAATTATACACTTTTAAAGGGTGAACTGAATGATATATATACTATATATCAATAAAGCAGTTACTGTTAAAGACCCAATTATATTAAGATATAGTAGCAATAAGCAAGCTGAAAATGAAATTAAGAAACAACCCTATCTGCAATAGCATCAAAAAGATTTAAATATTTGGAATAAACTTAACAAAAAAAGTGCAAGACTTACACACGGAAAACTACAAAACGTCACTGAAATAAATTAGACCTAAATAAATGGAAAGACACCCTATGTTCATGGTTGAGGACTTAATATCGTTAAGATGGCAATACTCCCCAAACTGGTCAATAAGTTCAATGCAATCTGTATCAAAATATCAGCCGCCTTTTCTTTTTCCATGCAGAAGTTGACAAGCTGATCCTAAAATTCATATGGAAATGCAAGGACTCAGAACAGCCAAAACAATCTTGAAAAAGAAACAAGTTGGAGGACTCACACTCATGACGTGGACTTTAGTATGAAACGCCAGTAAATAAGACTGAGGCGCTGGCATAGGACACATGACGATGGAAGAGAATCGCGAGTCCAGAAATAAACCCACACATTTGTGGGCAACTGATTTTCCAAAGGGGTGCCAAGATCATCCAATGAGGAAAGAAGGGTCTTTGCAAAAGATGGTGCTGAGATAGAGAAAAACCATCTCTCCAATAAGTGCTGCTGGGAAAACTGGAAGCTGCATGTAAAGGGATGGAATTAGAACGTTTTTTCACACCACATATAAAAATAAACTCAAAATGAATTAAAGACCTAAATGGAAGACTGGAAACTATAAAACTCCTAGAAGAAGACACCGGCAGAACACTTTCTGACATAAGCCATAGCAATATTTTTTTTTGGATCTGTCTCCCAAGGCAAAGGAAACAAAAGCAAAAATAAACAAATGGGACCTAATTAAACTTAAAAGCTCTTGCAACAGCAAAGGAAACCATCGACCAAATGAAAAGATAACCTACTGAATGGGAGAAAATATTTGAAAAAGATATGACTAATAAGGGGTTAATATCCAAAATATATAAACAGCTCATACAACTCAATAAAAAAATAAAAAAATAAGCCAGATTAAAAACTGGGCAGAAGACCTGAATAGACATTTTTCCAAAGAATACATACAGATGAAAAGCACATGAAAAGATGCTCAACTTCGCTAATCATCAGAGAAATGCAAATCGAAACCACGAGATATCACCTCCCACCCATCAAATGACTATCATCAAAAAGACCAAAAATAACAAGTGTTGCTGAGGATGTCGACAAAAGGGAACCCTCCTACACTGTTGGTGAGAATGTAAATTGGTGCAGCCACTTTGGAAAACAGTATGGAAGGTCCCTCAAAAAACTAAGAATAGAACTACCATATGATCCAGCAATTCCACTCCTGGGTATATATCTAAAGAAAATGAAAACAGAAAAGATACATGCACCCCAATGTCCATAGCAACATTATTCACAATAGCCAAGACATGGACGCAACCTAAATGTCAATCAACAGATGAATGGATAAAGAAGATGTGGTATATACATACAATGGAATATTACTTAGCCATAAAAAAGAATGAAAATTTGTCATTTCCAACAACATGGATGGACGTGGACGGTATTATGCTAAGTGAAAATAGTCAGAGAAAGACAAATACTATATGTTATCACTTACATGTAGAAATCTAAAAAATAAAACAAACAAAAGAATATAACAAAACAGAAGGAGACTCACGGATATAGAGAACACACTAGTGGTCACCACTGGGGAGAGGGAAGGAGGGAGGGGCATGATAGGGGTAGGGGATTAAGAGGTACAAACTATTAAGTATAAAATAAATAAGCTACAAGGACATATTGTAACAGCACAGCGAATACTGCCAGTATTTTAGAATAACTTTAAATGGAGTATAATCTATAAAAATATTGAATTTCTGTGTCGTACAGCCTGAAACTAATACAATATTGTAAATCAATTATACTTCAATAAAAAAATTTTTTTTCTGGGAGAACTGCATTTCCACACACAAAATAATGAA